AGACTCTGCGAGGTGTCTTGCCTGGCTGGCTGGTTGTTCCTTTGTTGTATAACTTAGAGGGGCAGAACCCAAGCGGCGTAGTGACAAAAATGAGGAAATCACACACCTTGCAAAACTAACTTCCATTGTCATAACTTCTCGAGATTTCTTTTGTTTTTCTTTCGTTAAAGAGGCTGATGTGGCTAGAAGTGGTCTGGTGTTAGTCGACTGTTGTGGGCCAAGTCATGGGAAGGTTGGAAGTATATCTTTAGAACGGGCAGGGTTTTGAAAGGGTCATAAATTTCTTTCCCCTGTTTGTGAGTTATTTGTGTATTGTTCCAGTCACTGTATTATGCCTTTCTCAACCTTTATTCCTTTGAAATGAGCTCAGATAAACTCAGCTTTGCAATAAAATAGATTTTCTGGGAGCTCATTTTAAGGTTCCTCGAATTATAGCACTGTAAGTGGCACCACACAATCCCGGAAAGCATAAAACGACACCAAGACTCTTCCTATTCTCTTCCACATGTGAACCAGTGTCCGCCAGTCAACATACCACTGATCAAGTCTCAGCTGCCTTACAAGGAGTGTCAGTCAGTGATCTAGATGAGAGTATTCACTTTGGCAATTGACTTAGGTCTAATGTTATTGACAGTATTTTAGGAAGAAGAGGTCACAGACCTTAAGAGGATGGGAAAACAGTTTCGGAAACATCTATATCTACGATGCTTCCTACCAGCCTCCCAAAACTTCAAGTTTAGTGGTATAATACCATTCCTAGTTATTTTTTTGCTGTGCATAAACTTTACTTATCCCATAAACAATAAAAAAATGGAGTGGGAGATAGAGAAAATAGTGAACCAGTAACAATCATAGCCATAATTTTTAAAGGGGTAAGCCGGCAAGCCTACGGAAGGCATCGATCAGATGACCAAAAGCTCCGGCTGTGGATTATATGATTAAGACCCGCATCACGAAACGCTTGTTTCCTGACAAACCTTAACTAACCTGAGGCAACCTCAGGAGTGGTGGAAGCTCGCTCCTCCGTCTCTTGATCTTCACACAGACACGCTACTTGTACTCACTTGTTAAAAGATAAAGAAAAATACTCAAGACGACATTACAGAAATGTATAAGAAATGTCGAATGCGACATCGTAGAAATGTAAATATAAATATTAATTTTTGTCGGTAATTTAAAGTGTTTAAACGTAAGAACAAGAAATAAATTTAAATACCTAAAAAACTTTAAATGTTAGGAGTGATATTTAAACGTGATTTTTTTTTACTAAATGCCGACTGCATGACGTTACCGTTCATGTGTTCATGTACACCCTGGCTGACACCACGCGTTCATGTACACCCTGGCTGACACCACGCGTTCATGTACACCCTGGCTGACACCACGCGTTCATGTACACCCTGGCTGACACCACGCGTTCATGTACACCCTGGCTGACACCACGCGTTCATGTACACCCTGGCTGACACCACGCGTTCATGTACACCCTGGCTGACACCAGGGATAACTGCGTGACGTCGTCGATTCCTCACTCACCCACACACTGGCTGACATCGTACATAGCTGCGTGACGTCAATAATAATGTGCATACAGCACCTAGTGCCATCTGTTGACACTCTCGATGACTAAGCCAATACTTGCTGGTGTCAGTGATTTTTCCACTAGGACAATCATAGTTACAATGATTATTAAAGGTATAATAACTATAATTATAATTATTATTAAAAGTATAATAACCATAGACATAATGATAAATAACACGAAATACCTTAAGTATAATGATCATAATTACCATCATTATTAAAGGTATAATAACGATAGATATAATGAATAATAAAATGTAACGCCATAAGTATAATGACGATAGTTATAATGATTTCTGAAAGTATAATAACACCATTAGTATAATGACCATGGTTATAATTATTATTTAAAATATAAAACCTCAAGCATAATGACCATGGCCATTATAGTCATTAATAGTTTATCATCATAAGCAAAATGCTATGATTATAATGATTATTAAAAGAATAACACCATCATCATAAAAGTTTAACACCATAAGTATAATAACCAAAGATATGTTTAATAAAAGTAAGATGAACAGAAGTATAATGACCATGGACATAATGATCATTAAAAATGCAAAGAATACCATAAGTACAATTATTACCCTAATAATATGAATATAATGATTCTTTAAAGTGTAAGGAATATCATAATGATTACGATAGGTATAATGATTATCATGGTAATGATGATTATTTTAAGAATATTGATAACCATAGGTATAATTAAAAATTAATTACCGTAAGTATAATAATAATCATTTGCATAATTTATGAGTATGATGATCTGCATGGAAATAATAAAAAATATATAATAATCATAAGCACCGTATAATAGTTACCATGGGTATAATGATTTATTATAAGTGTAATGATTATTGAGAATGATTACAATTAGTATAATGATAACCTTATGTACAGCAAATACTATAGGTATAATGATCACTCTTGGCATAATAATCGCAATATTTATAATCCCAATAATAATGATCACCATGAGAATAATGATCGTCAAGAGTATAATCGAAATAAGTATAATGATGAAAGAGTATAAAGATTATGATGACTGCAATGGTAATCATTTTGTAAATATAACGAGTATAATGACTGCCATGACTATAATCATGATTCTAATGGGTATGATGGCTATAATGATCACTATGAAAAATATAATAATGATCACCATGAACATAAAAACAGTATAATGATCATCATGTGTATAATAAAAACCATGAGAATAATGAGCACCATGAGTATAATGATCCCCTTGAATATAATGAACATGAGTTTATTGATCACCATGAGTAAAATAATCGCTATGAGTAATGATCATTGCATAAAAATGATTAACATGAACGTATTGATGACTGAGTATAATTATTACTATGAATATAATGACCACTGAGTTTATTCACTGAGTACAATGATCATTCTGGCTATAAGGATCACCTTTAATATAATGGTTACCGACTATAATGATCATTGAATATAATGCACATTATTGGTATAATGATCTATAATAAAATGATAACCTAGTATAATGATCACTGAGTCACTGGGTATAATGACAACCATGAATATATACGATCACTAGTACAATGATCACTGAAGTTTCGTGCGTTTAGATATTCATTGTAGCTACTTGTGTTAATAGTGTATATTCTTGTCGCTGTGGCAGCCGGGAGAAAGGGAGCACAAGAAGGAAGAGAAGAGAGGGAAGGAAGGGAAGAAGAGAAGAGAGGAAAGGAAGAGAAGAGAGGGAAGGACGGGAGAGAAGAGATGAAAGGAAGAGAAGAGAAGGAAGAGAAGAGAAGGAAATGGGGTGGAAGAACGGAGAGAAAGAGAAGGAAGAGAGTGAAGGAAGAGAAGATAGGGAAGAGAAGAGAGTGAAGAAAGAGAAGAGAGGGAAGAAAAGAAGGCAGACGAAAAAAATAAAAAAAGAAGGAAATTAGGAAGGGAAAGGAAGAATGGAAGGCGGGATGGAAGACCGATGAGAGAAGGAAGAGAAAAAGAAAAGGAATAGGTGGAACAGAGTAGAATGGGAAGCAGAGGAAAAAAATAAGCAAGGGAAAGAAAGACGAAGCAAGTAAGAAAAGAGGGTGGGAAAAAGGAGAGAAGTGAAAAGAAAGTAAAGAGTAGAAATTAGAGAAAGTAGATGTACGTAGAAAGTACAAAGTACAGAGAGAGAGAGGAAGGAGAGCGTGTTAAGTGTAATTCTCTAAGGATTAAATACAGAAGAAATGGTATGGTGATACCCACAAGATGTGGAGTAAGATACTTACGTACAGTCTAGGACATTTATTAGAAGAATAAATGTCCTAGACTGAAGAAGAAGCTACTAGTGGCGAAACCTTTCCTCTCATAAATGTCCTGGACTGTATATAAGCGTCTTTTCTCCACATAACATGTAGGGTTAAGTCCTGCAGGAGAATGATCCACATAGGTAGGATTCACCTTTAATAATGAAGTACAATGATCACAGTTCGTGATAACAGATGAACTAATTCGAGAAATATTTTAAATCTCTGACGTTCTTCATCTCCCAGAAACTACTTATTCACGTAGAAATCTTTCCACGAGAGAAATATAGTGATTCCTGCCTGTGATGTTTCACCCCGAGGCCGCTCGGGGTGAGTACGTACGGGGTGAGCACTGCTATTTTAGGCATTCATATGTACGACCAGGAATGTCTTTGTACTCGCCTCACCTAGTTGTGGTGACAGGGGTCGTGTCATGACTCCCATTTGGTAGCTACAGGTTTATTTTACAAGTCTCATCTCTCGAATACATTTCCCGGTTTATATACTTATCTATATGAGTGAGTATATAGTACACATGAAGAGTTAGAATCTCAATACCGTGGCTGGAACAGTTTAAAAAATAAAATTGAAACGAGACGTTTGGCCACGACTTGAAATGGTCCGGGATAATAAAAAAAAAAAAAAATAATAATAATAATAATAATAATAATAATAATAATAATAATAATAATAATAATAATAATAATAATAATAATAATAATAATAATAAATCTTTATTTCTGCAAGTACATGTACAAGGTAAAGAGGCCTATATCACATCAATGGCATACTACTATATAGAAAGCCCCTTGTTATGCAGAGTATTTCGGGCAAATTAGATAAATTTTGTTTTCAGGATGCGACCCACACCAGCCGACTAACACTCAGGTACCTATTGTACTGACAGGTGAATATGGACAGTAGGTGCCTTAAGGAAACACGTCCTAATGCTTCCACCCGTACCGGGAATCAACCCCAGGATCTCAGTGTGTGAGCTGGGTTAGTCAGTAATCGTGCTCCGGGACTGAAATATCATCTGGTTTCCAGTTATAGTAAACACAGGTTTTACTGATTTGGTTATCATTACTTTTAATAAAGTTAGACTTCTTTGTTACCCATGGCAAAACTCACCCCAAGGTCGTTGTCAGGAATACTCTCGAGGGTGGTCGGAAGGTCCTCGAGGCTGACCTTGGAGTCCTGGCGTGGTAGTATCTTGTCCTCGGGGGTGTGAGGCACGGAGGACCCATTCCCAGAGGAGGAGATGGAATTAGAGGCTGAAGTGATTCTTACTACTGCAAGACCTTCAAGAGAAGACTCCAGCTTCTTCTGGGCGTCCGTCACTGTGATGGGTTTGAGGTCTTTGCTTTCACCACACCCCATGGTTGTCTGGTCAGTGGTTGGTGGGGGCAGACGTGGGTAGGGGCAGACGTGGATGAGGGCAGACGTGGGTAGGGGCAGACTTGGATAAGAACAGGCGCTAGGAGGAGCAGTTTACCAGAGAGCTGATAGTCACTGATAGATTAAAACATGAGGTTTTAGGTCCCAGTTCACAACACATAAACAGTATCACACACTACGGATCAGGTACTTGTGTTTCTCCGATGAAAAAGCAAAAACACTGCTAGTTTCCACAACACCCAGGCGACGGATCAACACACAGGCGACGGATCAACACACAGACGACGGGTCAACACAGACGGCGGGTCAACACCCTGATATCGTTTGGCAGGGCTAGGAATGGTAGTCAGGAAAAAAAGGCACTGGATTTTTCTCCTATTTATCTTTCTTTAATGACGCCAGGACAGGCAGCTTGCTGCTTGTTGGATGGCGTTAAACCGACGCATCGTTTCTGTCCTTCGACGGCGTGTGAAGAATGCAACTCTCTCGCACCTTTCTCATACCTCTTGCTTTCCGCCTTGCGATTTACGTTACACTCAGATCCTGACTTCTTTTAGATTTGAAAGGTTCCCTGCGTATAAGACGATAATGACGCTTTCCTAAAATCCACTTCATTTTTCCATCAAACTTCTGTACATTAATACAAAAAGTTCTGAAACTTCAGCACTTCCTGCCGACGAAGAATCGCTCGTTGTTTAACTCCAACGCTAAATTTTCCGAGGAGAACAAATCCCACTCCGTTAGTTTAACAAACTTTGAAAGTCACTGAAGTGCTTCTCGTCTACGATGGAGATGGAGGATAGTGTTGGATGCAGCCCATCCCTCGCGCCCTGACCACAGGAAGCTGGCGACACACTGACCAATACTTCAAGGAACGCGGCGGGCTTTCCTCAGTGCATGACCCGTTTTCTCTCATGAACCAGCACAGAAAACTCGTTTTGACCTGAAACACTTTAATTTATGGTTGCTCTTTATAATTCATGTCCGTCTCACATCTGCTTATTCCGTTAACGATGTAGACTCCGTATAACTAATTGTTGTGGTAGCTTCATAATTCTTTAGCAGGAAAAGGGATTCACGCAGAGAGATATTGCTTGATGAAGAGGTCAAGAATAGAAAACGGAGGCGTGTGTGATTCTCACCATGGCAACCACGTAAATATCATGCCGGTGTGAGAGACTCAATCAATATTCTCATTAATGTATAGGTGCTGCTTCTACTTCAGCGTGTTAGCCACCAATGAATATCGTTATTTTTTTTTTTTTACATTATAACGCTACACGCGTCTAGAAATAAAACGTAGAGTATCTCCAGTGGGCTGTTTTATAAGTTATCGTGAGAGAAAGAATTGCTTACCCAAATTACATGTAAGAAATGCTAATCAAAAATATATTCAGTATTGCCTAATCTAATTAACGAAAAAAAATTATCTATCAAAGTCAAAAGCAAAAAAATACTTTTTGAAACTGACACTCTATACTTTGAGGATCCCACAGGCACCATTTATTTTCCCAACATTTATAACAACTCAACTGATGCATGAAACTTAGCAAAAGTTTACTAAACCAGATCGAACCACAGTAAATCGACTTGTCATTTACAGTATCTTTACAATCAGTTTTAGTTTTAGCCCATTTTGATCATAACTATAATTTATCATGCTTTACTGAAGAACAAAAGACTGACGCCGTTTGTCTGCATGAAAATAAACCACTGGAGCAGCGGCTGCCGGCAACCCAGGCAGGGAAGGGTAAAGAGAGCGTCAGGTCGACAGTCAGTTCGTGGAGCTCCTCGCGTCAGGCAACCCCTTCAGGTGTGCACAGGTGAGCCGAGAGCAAGATGACGGCTAGCAAACTGTCTTTAGTGAATGGTGTATGAGACAAGAGGTTCTACTTATGTGTGCTATGTGTTCAAGGGAGGTAGCGGAAGCCCTTGCTGGTTTGGGGACGTAGCCGAGGTCGATGTTGCAACCTTGATGATCGTGGTGGTCAGTGTTTCTTGTCAGAAGGAGGAGGAGGGGAAGCAACGCTCGCAATCGAAAAAGTACCCTGACTCTCACTCCATTTCCATTTTACTTATTTATCTTATATTTTCTGGCTGCTGTAAAGTGAAAGGCAGACGAGAAGTAACTCCCGTTATTCAGTTCTTTCAAGCCATCGTGTATCACAGCATCGCCATGACAACACCCCCTTCCTCCCCCTCCTTTCTTCCCTCCTTCCTTCCCCTTTCTCCTCCTTTCGTTTTGGCTTTCAACCCTTCCTTTCTTCCTTACCCTCCTTTTTCTCTTCCTCCCACCCATTCTTCATTCCTTACTCTCACATCTCCCCTGTTTACATGTTGGAAACTCCTCTAAGAATGAGAGACGGGACACTAAGATCATAAATCTGCTCCTGTAGATATAAATAAGCAATCACACGCGGATGCGCAACTCATATTCAATAATAATAATAATAATAATAATAATAATAATAATAATAATAATAATAATAATAATAATAATAATATCATTATCATTGCAGTCTTGGGGAAGCGATAACTCGCAGGTTCATACAGTGCCTGGGGAATAGTAGCACTCAGGTTTGATCTGGGGAAGTAGATGCTTCCAATTCCTTGGATCAAGAACGTTTCATCAGCATCAAGGCCGGCTCCTCCCCCAGTGGAGGGACCGCTTATATTCCGTGTCCTGGTTCCTGATGCGTGTCTCCCCCACCAAAAACCACGTGACCAGCCAGCGTGTCTCAGCGCAGCCATCGATTACTGGAAACTAGGCTGGCTTTAAACGTTTCTCCCAAAGCTGCCAGCGCCGATGGTATCGTGAAACCAGTCAAAACGTTTGTCAAAACTACAGCGTTATATCTACTGCACTGTTAAGAAAAAGTAGGAAACAAGATTTTTCCTCAGTTGCTAACATATCAGAAAGACTCAAAGGAAACTGGACATGTATCATCACCAGATGCCAGATCAACTAGGCTGTGATGGACATGTGAGCCAGCGGGCAGTCAGCAGCAACAGCTTGATTGGCCAGACAAGCACCAGATGATACATTCTATAAATGACATTACGATGATGCAGTCCATAAACTACATTATGACATTACTGCTGCATGAACTAAGAAACATTATGCAGCGTCTTTGTGGAGTTGAACGTATTTAGCTGGGATAGAAAGACTGAGAAATTTTTAAGACGGGGCAAGTGGTGGTAGTGGAGTTTTATTAGTTAGGACATGGGGGAAAATACCTCCTAACGGGTCTTCGTCACATAACCCACCGAGTGATTAAGAATCCGGTAGCTTACTGGTGCTGTATATTTGTGCCTAAGCAACCCTTGGCATACCGGAGCGAAGTTAACCATCTCAATGAGAAAAGAGAATAACCCCAGTGTCCTCATGTTTAATGCACAGTCAACGAAAACAACTGACTGATGACGGCCTTGCCAGGTCTGGAACCTAAGGTGGGACCTAGAAAGACTAAGATCTAACCGTTGCGTGAAATGTGCTGTTTACGAGAAAGCACGGGTAGGCACGCACGCATAAACGCACACTCCCTCATGTATAACTCACGCACTGAAACACGCACATAATCACTTCTACGCATACAGTCACAAGTCTACTAATTACACACGCGCAGTTACTGCCCTCTCCCCATAAAAAATAACTACGTGACTCAACCATCACATGAAGCTTGAAAAATCATGTTCTCTACGACAATAAAATACTTGGATCATGAGCAGTATATATCATGACTACCTAAAATCACGGTCATAAAGGCCATACCTTATGACTATCCTAACGTACCATAATCATATGAAGTATAATTTACTACCACGTAATATGACGGAGTCAGGAGTAGTAACAGTCAAAGACCATTCCAACATAACCGTGAAGGGCAGAGTGGACAGCGCAGAGAAGTAACGTGACTATCGTGCGATCAACGGACGGAGATTCGAGCATGCACCACTCCTTGAACTTAATGATCCACACTGCTTTAGCGTTTCGTATATTACAAATGATAATTTTGAATTATATTATTATTATATAAATCAATAAACACATGTGGGTCATTAAGTTCAAGGAGAGGTGGAGTTGGATCCATCGTCAGCTAATCGCACGACAATCACGCTACCTCTCTGCAGTTTCCACTCTGCACTTCATGGGTATGTTAGAACGATCTTGATGAGTTCTACTGCCGGCTTTGTCATGTTATATGATAATAAATTATACTTCATGTGATTATGGTATGTTAGGAAAGTTATAATGTATATGTAATGTTCTTGACTGCTATGCTAAATTATAATAAATATACCGACATACACATGTTGTACTAGAGTCAAGAACAGCATATTAAACTAGCACCCTACAACACCCGATTCATAAGCAGAATCTTTGATGACCATTGTAACATATTCCAGTCATTTTTGAACATTAAAATGGTATAAAATACCGACAGGTTGTTAGGTAAGACACATATGCAACAGTTAGGTATCTTTATTTCGAAATAAAGACACCTAACTGTTGCATATGTGTCTTACCTAACATCCAGTCATTTTTGCAGACTCCGATAAAAAGATGTATATTTCACGGCCATCACACACTACTGCTGAGTTATCTGGGTTATTTAGTATAGGATTCATTGCTTGTAAGATATATTTATTTAAGTTTACATATATGTTGCAGAAATCTTCGTATATTTTGTTTATATCTGTCCCTTACAGTATTTTGTTGTGTTCAGGTCTCTGAAGTATTCTTATACACGTAAGATGGAATTCTATATTCTAGTTTATCTAGTTTGTATTTTACTTTCCTTGGTTATTATAGAATATTTATTACCCACAACAAGAACAATCGCTGATCATAGAGTGTTCCAGTAACAGTTCGGTATTATATACCATTCTTGTACTATTACTACTACTACTAACTATACTAATCACACCTCTTCCTGCCATATATAGCCGTCCTGTCCACTTCTGGTTAGATTATCCTAGATTAATGGTTATAAATGACCATAATTTTTAAAGGGGTGGACCGGTAAGCCAGCGGAAGGCCTCGGTCAGATGACCAAAAGCTCCAAAGGCGGGTCATCATCTAAGACCCGCGTCAGGAAACATTTGTCCTGTTTCCTGACGAACCTTACCTAACCTAACCTAACTTCTGGTTAGTGTGACTTTGTCAATGGTCCAAGTCGGACCGAAACGTCGTCGTAAGCTTTCTCTTTTATGTGCGGGTTATTTGTGTAACAGTTCATTCGTTGAAATATAAGGAAATCCTTCTTCAAATATGAATATTTTGTTTTCTACTTATTTGTTCTACATTTTAGTTTCCTCGATTATTCTTTATTCCTTCATGGTTAATCTAATTTTTTTTTAACGTTGCTAATTTTCATTAAAGAGCGTTTTTAGCATATTATTTCATTTTATATCTTATCCAATTCTTTTCTCATGTGATATTCTTAAACGATCAGTTGTACATATTTACAACGAGTTTTCATTTTTTTATTTTTTTTATTATCACACTGGCCGTTTCCCACCAAGGCAGAGTGGCCCAAAAAAGAAAAACTTTCACCATCATTCACTCCAAATATATGTATTTCTAAAATTTTTAAACTCATAAACATAGGTTACATGATATTGTAGTGGTCAGGGTTCTCTGTGATAATATTGCTGTATCACTACTTTCTGTCTCAATTCTGCCCCTTATTCATGTTAGGTAGTTCCTCATTAGACAGTTGTTCATTCAGTATTGTTTCAGTTAGAGACACAAAATATAGTTTCTTTTCGCTTATAAAATCTTGTAAATAGTATTTTTTTGTGTGTACTAAATTATGTTTCTGTATATTAATTTAATAATTATTTTATATCTAGGGAATTCTTGGTTATGTTCTCATTATTACTTAAATTTTTTTTATTCTTTATTGTGTTTTGAAAACACTGTCTTGATGGTGTGAGAGATTAAGTATACATATCTGTATGACCGTGTATACATGTATATTTGAGTCTGACAATATGTACACGAGTGGCTGTATGACTCTGTGTTTACATAACTGAATGTGTATGTTGGAACTTGTATAAGAAGTGTTTGGAGAGTATAGTATATGCTTCTGTGTGCAACAGTGTGAGGTAGGCAGGAGGCTTTGACAGTGTGGATTTTTCAGCGCCCTGGGCAATAAAAATGAACACAACACTCATAAAAATGACAACGATAAAAACTAATAAACAATAAAAAACTATAAACATAAAACACACAACACAATACTTTCACAGTAGGTTAAAAACCGGCATCAGTTACATATGCCATTAATTCTTTTAATGTCAAAAGAAATTAACAGTTTGAAGTTCTCCGACCTACCAACAGACACCTCAGTAATTACATAGACCTCGATGAAAGTAAAATGGCCTAAGTCTTGGGCAAATAATTAAAATTGTACTCCATAGGCAGCTGCATGCCTGAAGCTACACCGAGGTGGAATCAGCAGATCCTCAATGGACATATTTTTGCTTTTGAGTGACGATTTTTGTTGGAGGAGGAGAGTCCAACACCCATGTTCTGCTGAACCCTGCATAGTTTATTTCTCATCTCCAGAGTTCACTACTTCTCATTGACGTGAGTGTAACCAATGACTTCACTGTAAGGAAGAAATCGGCTATAGCTGAACCTCATTATAGCAGTCTTTACCATGGCATCTGCCCATTCATTTTCAGGAACACCAATGTGGGCTGGGTACTAGCACAATTCCGCATGAAAGTTTTGGGCCACTGCGCAGCCCATGCTAGCACGTCCATACGGACTTTACAAGACATACAAACCAGTGACTTGCCTAGGTTTGGAAAT